CGATCTCACTTTTTGGGACACCACGCGAAACCGCGGGGCACCAAATCGATCTCAGTATCGATCTCACTATCGATCTCACTATCGATCTCACTCACCGGCACACCACGGGACACCACGGGACACCACGGGACACCACCGGACACCGCGGGACACCGCGGGACACCGCGAGCCACCGCCGGACGGACGGACGGACGGGGGAGAATCATTTGTCTTGACTTCGCCCTAGCAACGGCGGACACCACGGGACACCACGGGACACCACGGGACACCGCAGGACACCGGTGGCCACCGCCGGACGGACGGACGGACGGGGGAGAATCATTGGTCTTGACTTCGCCCTAGCAACGGCGGGTTCATTCCGACACGAACGAAACGAAACGATTTCCCAGTTGGGGGTCTCCGTTCCACTGCGATCTCACCCCCAAAACTTCCGATTGATAAGGAAAAGGAACGGAGGAGGTGGGGGAGGAGGAGGAGGGAGGAGGGTGAGGAGCAGGAAGGTGAAGTGTTGGAAGGTGCGGAGCAGGAGGAGCAGGAGGAGGAGCAGGAGGTTTGGGATTTTGTTTGTTTTGCCCATTGGTGGACAGTGGCCCGCAGCTCCGTTCAGCCCCCGTTTCTGGTGGTCGCCGTGTGGCAGCTGGGGGGCGTTTGCTGAGATCTCTTGCCGCCTCCGAGTGCCGTGGGTCAGATCCCGCGCTGAGGAAGCAATTTGACGGTCGGGAAGGAGGCGGACGCTGCAGAGGAGGAGGAGGAGGAGAGGAAAAGGCGGGGAGGAGAAAAAGCAGGAGGAACCAGCATCGCTCGCTGCGACCACTTACCCTCTCCTTCCCCTCCGTGGAGCCAGCCCCCTCGTCCCATCGGATGGGAAGCTGGCGCTCTGCACGCAGGCCCCCTCTCTGTGAAGCCGACGTCTCCTCTCTCCTCCCCTGCCCCCCCGCAGGGAGGGAGTTGGGTGGGGGCGGGGGCGGGAGGTGGGAATTCGGCCGGTGGGCGTGGCGAGCTCTCCACACGAGCCGGCGGGGCAGGGCGGGGGCGCGGGCCAGTGGATCGGCGGGGCCGAGCGGCCGAGCCTGTGGGCCTCCTCGGGGCCAGGCAGCAGCGCACGGCGGCGTCGCGCACGCCGTGGGCGCCGCGACCGCGGGCGCTCGCGGGCAGCGCTGCCAGCGTCGAGGAGACGAGAACAGATGCGAGGGCGCACGGATCAGCGACGGGCCCCGCTTTCCATACTGGGTAGTCGAAGGCCAGACTGTCAGACTGGATTGGGCCCCAAGGGCCAATCTGGCCTGGCCATATCGGAGGATTTCGGTTATTCGCCAGACTGGATTCGCGTTGGCTCTCTCGCCAGATTGCCCCCGTTTGCCAGATTGGGCCTGCCAGATTGGCGCCAGATTGGCTTCGACTACCCAGCCATACAAGATCGATTCGCGCCCCTTCGCCACATCGGCAGGCGGCAATCGGCTCGGGGGGCCGCGTTCCCCGGTCTGCAGATCTGGCGCCCAGGCGCCAGATCCACGGATCTCCAAGCGATGTCCCCGCGTTCTGAATCGAGGACGCAGGGGGGAAACAGGAGGAGTTGGTCCTGTCCTTCCGTACTCAGTACTTACATAAGTAGGTCGTGCTCACCACGGTTGGCGCGCACTGCTCCTCCTATCCGCAAAGCCGCACCCGCAGTTCGGCGAATACGGTTTGGCGGCCCGAGAGCGCCCAATGCCATTTGGGTTCCAAGGGCGTCGGCTCAGGAACGACCTCGGGGCTAATAAACGGGGGGGCAGAAAGCAGAAAGGTCCCTTTCGTGCACATCTAGGGCCCCAGGGGCCCCCTTTAGGGTCCCTTTCCTGCAACCCTCGGTGCCCCCCATATCTATGTGTATGTGTATATATATGTATATATATATACAAGATTTTAAGGCTCGCTGCGCTTCGCCTTCTAATCTTGATCCTTGCACCTACGATGTTTCTGGGCGCGGGCGAGAACACAATTGTTCAATGAGGTGTGTGGGAATTGTGCGAGCGGAGGCGAGGCGAGGCGAGTGCGCGGTAGCGCCCGGGGCGGGGCTCAGGGCGCAGAGTTGGTGGACGCTGGACTGGAGGTGAAGGTGGAAAGTCGGATGCAGAACGCTAGAGGTCGGAGTGCTGAGCTGATGGAGGCTGGAAGTCTATAGGTGGAAGTCCCACCAGCCCTTTAGGGCTACGGTGGTATAGCGAGTTTGGTCTTCTCTCTTCCCCTTCCTTCCCCTGCTCGGGGGAGGGGTAACCTTCCCCTGGACCTGGAGGGGGGGGGGGAGGGAGGCGTTAGAGCGTCCAAGATGGCTCAAGATGGCTCCAAGAGGCGCTCCAAGTCGCAAGATGGCCTCCAAGATGGCCCAAGATACCTCAAGATGGGTCAAGATAGCCTCCGACACACCTCCAAGAGTCCTCAAGACGGATCCACGTGCCCTTCGAGCCCTCCACGGCGCCCTCCAAGAAGCCAAAACCCTTCAAAAGCCTAAGGAAAGTCAATGTGTTTGGCATTCTCGTCTTTTCGCTTCCGATGGGCCCCTGAGGCATCAAGATGGCCCCAAGATGGCCCAAGAGAGCCCCAAGAGGGGCCCAAGAAGGCCCAAGACGGCCCCAAGATCGCCCAAGAGGCTTCCAAAGAGCGCTCCAACACGTCCCCAAGACGCCGTTTGAGAGCCTCCGAGGGGGGGACCTGAACTGAGGACCCCCGCTCTTTTTGAACAATGGGGCCCAAGACGGGCCCGAGAGGCCTCCCAGCCTCTCCTGAAGATTCTCCACCCCGCCCTTTTTGGCCCAAGATGGCTCCAAGAGAGCCCTAGATAGCCCAAGATGGCCTCCAAAATGGCCCAAGATAGCCAAGCATGGCTCAAGATAGAGCCTCCGACAGATCTCCAAGATGCCTCAAGACAGCCTGAATATGGCGCATCAAATTGTGGTTCCCCGGACCCTGGAAGCCTGTCGTGGGATCTCTTTGGGGCCCCCGAGGTGTGTCTTGTGGCGCCTTGGTGTCTTTGGGGAGCTTGGATATGAGTCTCAGATCTGGGGCCCTTCAGAAGGCAGCGGAGAAGGAAGACAGCGAACTACAGGAGAGAGAGGAGCAGGAGGAGGAAGAGCAAGAGGAAGCCTTGTCGTAGGCCCGTGGTGGGGTCTTCTTGGACCGTCCAGGAGTCTCGTGGGTTCTTCAGGGGAGCTGGTGATAGCAGTCTGGGGTCTGGGGTATGTTTTAGTTCTCGCGAGTGTTCCGTGGGCTCCTGAGACGAAAGGAGAACTGCGCATCAAATTGTGGTTCCCCGGGCCCTGGAAGCTTGTCGTGGGCCCTCTTCGGAGCCCCCTTGGTCTGCCTTGGCACCCCTGGTTGCTTTTGGGGAGCTTGTGATAAGAGTATGTGGTCTGGGGCTTTTGACGAGGCAGCGGAGGAGGAAGACAACGAACTACAGGAGGAGCAAGAGGAGCAGGAGGATAAAGAGCCGGAGGAGGAGCAGCAGCAGAAGGAGGTTGGGAGGAGATTTCCGAAGAGTTGGTGTCGAGAGTTAGGTTGGAACCTTCTTGGACTTTCTTGGGGATGTCTTCAGAGCCTCGAAGGAGGAGATTTCCGAAGAGTTGGTGTCGAGAGTTAGGTTGGAACCTTCTTGGACTTTCTTGGGGATGTCTTCAGAGCCTCGAAGGAGCAGCTGGAGGAGGATCAGGAGAAAACCTCCTGAGAAAATGAGTATCAGTTTTCGTATCCCGGAGTCGGTGGAGGCAAATGAGGAGAGGGCGATGGAGGAGGAGGAGGAGGACGAGGAGGAGGAGGAAGGCGACGAGTTCGAGGGAAGAAGGAGGTTGAGGAGGGGATGAGGGGCAGAGAGGGGGAAACGGAGGAGGAGGAGGTAGAGAAGGACGAGAGATGGGCTGTCGGACGTCCGAGTAGGTCATGCCGAGAGTTATCTTGGAACCCTCTTGGGCTCTAGTGGGGATGTCTGCAGGGCCTCATGTGCCGTCTTGGGGCGAGGTTGAGAAGAACTAGGGGCGATGGGGGGGGCCGCTCAGGTCAATCAGAGTGTAAAGAATTTGACGGCTCTAAGACTGAGTGGAGCTCCTGTTGGTGCTTTTGTATACCATCGGAGGGCCTTCTTGGGCTGTCCTGGGGCCCTCGTGGGCTGTCTGGGGGGGTTTGGGCCGTCCTGGGGCCGTGTTGGGGCTCTCTCGGGCCCTCTCTGAAGCATCCCGTGACTCTGTTGGAGCCCTCTTGGGGGTCTTTTAGGGGTCTCTTGGGCGCTCCCTGGCTTTTTTTGCGCTTTATTGACCCATCTTGGGGCTCCATTGGGCCGCCTGGAAGCCATTTCGGGGCGACCTCGGAAGCTCGCAGATCATTATTGGGCCGTTCGTGGCCAGAAAAGGCGAGAAGCACATAATCGTTCAAACATAAATGGAAAATTAAGGTTTTTGGCCTGCTGAGGCCGTGTTGGAGGTCTTTGCAGGGGCATCCTGGACAGTCTTGAGCCCATGTTTGGTCCTGTTGGAGCACTATGGGGCCGTCTTGGGGCCTCTTGGGCCTTGCAGAGGACGTCTCGGAAGTGCCTTCTGCTGTCTTGGGCTCCCGATGTAGGCCTCGTGTCGCTCTCTTCGGGGTATTTTGGGCCGTCTCGAAGCATTGTGGGGCTCTCTTGGGAGCCTGTGGGGTTCATCTGGGGTCCATGTGGGGGGGGGTGTCGGTGACATGCCGGGTTTTTCCTTGTCATTTGATAGGTAGAAGGAATATGTGTGTACACACATGTATCGTCCCCATTTCCTTCACTCCTCCCACTCTTTCCCCTCCCTCCTCCTTCCGTTTCTCCCTCTCTCTTCCTCGTTAGCGTTGGTTCATATCGAGTCGTTCCGACTCGCGAACTCGCGCCAGGGCTCTTCCACGCGCCGCTATCCCGCCCCTTTTGCGTGTTTCCCCTCGCCGTGGGCAGTGTTGCCGCCGTGGCGGCCCGCGCGGCCTCGCTGCATGGCGGCGGAGCGTCGTGCCCAAGCCGCCAGGGCGCATGTCAGGGCGGTGCAGACGTTGCTGCGGGGCTTCCAAAGCCTGGAGCAGCACCCTGGGATTGCCAGCCCACCCGCATCGGTGCTGCTCTCGGCATTGCCATACGTGCTGACGCATCCAGGGGTGCCGCTCATGCTCGTGATGTTCGTGCTGGCGCAGTTCATCTGGTGCCTCCTGGTGGAGACGGTCTTGCCCCTGCTGTCCGTGAGGCGTCTCGTGGTGAAGGCGAACTGTATGAAGGTGTTCGCCATGCTGCTGCGGGACCTGCTGGTCCCCCGGGCCCCAGTGAAGGCAAAGGCAGCGCCGATCCTTGGGCGCCCGCAAGCCCTGGCGGCCCTCGAGGATCTCATCACGATCGCGACGAGCGCGTTGCTGTGCGGCGTGCGCGTTTCTCGGCGTTCCCTTGCCATGGTGGTCTTGCCTACCGCCCTGGTGCAACTGCTCGCGATGCGGTCCGTCTTGCGCGCTCTTGGGTGGCGGCGGCCCCTGGGGACTCCTTCGGCCGCACTCCTCCCAGGCGCGGCAAACACAGAGGCGAGGACAGGCCGGAGCTGAAGAAGGCCTTCCACGGAGGAGAGCTGCGAGGCCCGAAGCCTTACCATGCTGGCAACCTTTACTACACCTTTCATTGCATCTCTTCTGGTCTTTTTCGTGGCTCAGTGGCTCCGTGCGGGGTGCGTGGCCCCTCCCCTCGCTCGCCCCCGCTGGGCCGCGGCAGGGCGCGCGCGCAGGCGCTGGACGGCCGTGTCCTCTGTGTCTTGGCATCGCTCGGACGTGTGCGTTTTTCTTTCGGCGAGGACCGCCGAGGAGCATCCTGGATCATCTGGCGAGAAAAAAAACACGCACGAAACCCGAAAAAAGCACAGGGAGTGGACGTCCGAGCGATGCCCTGGTGTAGGTTGGGTCGTTTGGCATGCTGCTTGGTGGGGGGGGGGGGGGGGGGGGGGGCGCGTGTCTCTGGGCGGCGCAGGGTCTTACCTCCTGGCCTCGATGCTGGAAGGCCCAGCCTGGCTCTCGCGGAGTCCAATCCAATCCCTCATCCTCGGCCTCCGTCCTGCGTTCTCCCCTCACTCCCCCCGCGGGGTGGCCCTGGGGGCAGACCGACCACTCCCCTCCCCGCCGCGCGGGAGCAACTGTGAGCCTTCGGAGCTGATCCATCGGTACCTTTTTGCTGCTCCCTGAAAGGCCAAGGTCTGGAAACGAGAGCGGTGAGACACGTGCAGATTATACGACGCCATGCGCAGCGAAGCCGGCCAGCGAGGAGGCTCGGGGAGGAGGGGGGCGGCTCGGAGGATGCTTGTAGTGACGCTGGCCCACGGTGTTCCCAGTTGCTCGCTCCACCGCGGAGCCCCTGAGGCCCTGAGGCCCTCCGGGCTTCGTGAGGGGTGCTCCGGAGGCCGTGGAGGGCTCCCCGAAGATGCTGCGCACACCTCGGGGCAGGGGCACCTCTGGCAACAACCGAGAGAGAAAGGGGGGGAGACGGAGGGGAAGGGCGGAGAGCGGGGGTTGGGGTAGCTGGACGGATCGTAGCGGGTCGGGGTGTGCCTGAGCGGCTGGGGCCCGACTGGGGCGGACCAGGCGGCCCGGGCCGTGGTCCGTCACTCTCCTCCTTCCCCGCTCGTCCTCACTCACATCCCGGGTGAGCAACAGCGCAACGAAAGGGTTCACGAGTCACGATCGAGCGTCCGACGAGATTCTGCTGGCCGTGCGTGCCCGAGGCTGGCAGTGACCCGCAGGTGCGTGCACGCCGCAGGTCTGCTGTACACACTCCCTTCCGCCCCTTCCTCACTCCCTGGAACCCGCGACCCCAGCACCAGGACCGTCTCAGATCTGGCGTATCGGCCGGAGGTCCGCCCGCCACGGCAGGAGGGTGCTCCAGTCGGGAAGGCTGTTCCAAGCAGCCACGTGGGGGGCGACAGCCCACCTGGGAGCTGGCGACGGCGCACACACCCCTCCTCATCCTCCTCCTCCCCTTCCACCCGTCCTCCCTCTCCCGACCGCTGCTCTCTACTCCTTCTGGGGGCTGCGTGCGCGCGCCCGTCCGCCTCCCGGCAAGGTGCAGCCCGAGATCCCTCGGGGCGTTGCTTAGTGGGGAGGTCATAAGCGGGTGGGGGTGCACAAAGGTGAACATTTCGCGCACAGTTGGGGGGGGCTGTTTTGGGCCCGGATCCTGCAACCCTACGTCCACCCCTGGCAGGTATCGCCCGCCCTCTTGCGAAACGCGCAATTTCCCCTTCCACCCTTCCGCTCCCTCTTTCCCTTCCCTCCCCTTTTCCCCCCCTCCCCCCCTCTCCACCTCTGGGCGCGTGCGCGCCCCCGACCGCCCGCGTCCCGGCCAGAGGCGCAGCTCGAGCCCCTGTTCGGTGCACCCCGAACGAGTCGGCGGGGGCGCGGGCTGCCATTCGTTTCCTAGCTTCTGTCAATGTCATTGTCGCGTGGAGTCGCGGCACAGCGGATCGAGAGGCGGGTGGGAGAGGGTCGCGGCACAGTGGCTCGAGAGGCGGGGGGGAGAGGGCGAAGGGGGGCGGGGGCGGAAGACAGCGAGGGTGGGTTGCAGGCGGGGGGGGAGACGAGAGCGGGCGAGAGGAGGGAGTGATGGTGGAGGTGGCAGCAGCAGCTGGAGAAAGGAGGAGGAGGCGGAGGAAGGGAAGGAAGTCGAAAACGAAGAGGACCAGTGGGAGGCGGCTCGCGTGGCGGAGGGCAACACGGCGCGCGCCCGCCCTGCGCGTGCGCGTTGTTCCTCTCTTGCTGCGTTTGCGATCGCAAATGGAAGTAATCGGCCGTGCTAGGCTTGAGATCGAAATAGTTGAACGGAAGTTTGCCGCCTTCCGAGGCGAGCCGAGGCCTGCAATGATTGGGATTTGCGATTTCGGCACGAAGGCTGCAGCAACTCCATGCGCAGGTTCTCGGCCGAAGCAGTTTGAGAACACTTGAGCAGAATGGAGACCTCAGGCAAGCCGGAAACACACCTTGCGGGTGTCATCTCCGATGCGTCTTTCGGTGTGAAGAACACAACGCGCTGCTCAACCGCAGCAAGCGGGGCACGGACAAGTCGCACAGGAAAGCAACGCTTCGTGAAAAGGGCCCAAACCATCCGCCTCGAGCCCTTGATCTGGCTCAAGCGATAGGGCAACCTGCCGCCAGCACGGCCAGATTCTGAACCGGTTCTTCTGAGCTAGCCCACTGCAGCTGAGCACGCGGGCGAGGCTCCAGCGACCAAAGTTGCGGAGGCAAGGATCGAACGCTGGGCGAGGGCTGCTAAAACCGTGGCTGCTAAAACGGCCCTCCCGGAAGGAAAAAAAAACTTCCCGGAATGAGGCGCGGCACGCGAAACAGTCAACGGGCTTCTTCCCGGAAGGACGAAGACAATTTCCCGGAGGTCGATGTTAGCAGCCACGGATTTAGCAGCCTTTGCCCGGCTTCCGAAAAGTTGCGGAGGCAAGGACCCACTCATCCTGTCGGTCAGGTTCGACAGGTGCCACATCGCGTTGGGGGCCGAGGGACCGCAATGCCGATGCCTCTGACGGGGCAGCGCAGCTGATCCAAAGCTGCCGCTGTCTAACAAGCAAGACTCAGGAGGGGAACAAAAAAAACACAGACACAATTAATCGTCCATTCCCAGGAGAATGTGGTAAAATTTTGGAAGTGGGGGGGGGGGAGACAGAAACCCAGAAAATCGGAGGTGAGGGGGTGAGATCGAAGTGGAACGGAGAGCCCCCCTACCGGGAAATCGATTTCGGTTTCGTGTTCGTGCGTGCCGTGCGTGCGGGCGAGACGAAGCTGCGTGGGCGGGCGAGAGGAAAGTCTCCTGTGGCTGAGGCGCGGCCGGACCAAATGATTCTCCACCCGGCGGCCGGTGGCGCGCGGTGTCCCGCCAGTGTCCCGGTGGTGTCCTCTGTGGCTGAGGCGCGGCCGGACCAAATGATTCTCCACCGGGCGGCCGGTGGCGCGCGGTGTCCCGCCTGTGTCCCGCCGGTGTCCCGTCGGTGTCCCGTCGGTGTCCCGATCATGATGTTGATGATGATGATGATGATGATGATGATGATGATGATGATGGTGATTATGATTATGATTATGATGTTGATGATGGCGATGATGATGATGTTGGTGTTGTTGATGATGATGACGTCGATTGTGAGATCGATTGTGATATCGATAGTGAGACCGAATGTGAGATCGATTGTGAGATCGATAGTGAGATCGATTGTGAGATCGATAGTGAGATCGATAGTGAGATCGAATGTGAGACCGAATGTGAGATCGACTGTGAGATCGATTGTGAGATCGTTAGTGAGATCGACAGTGAGACCGAATGTGAGACCGAATGTGAGATCGATTGTGAGATCGATTGTGAGATCGATTGTGAGATCGATAGTGAGATCGATAGCGAGATCGATAGCGAGACCCCAGGAAGCATTTAAGAACCCCCCCCCCCCCCCTTCCGGTAAATCGATAACCCTTCCGCACCCTGGAAGCGTTACCTGGCACCAGGAGCCCTCCTCCTCCTCCTCCTCCTCCTCCTCCTCCTCCTCCTCCTCCTCCTCCTCTCCTCCACCCACGAACCTTCCTCCTGCCCCCTCCTCCTCCTCCTCCTCCTCCTCCTCCTCCTCCTCCTCCTCCTCCTCCTCCTCCCGCGCCCCCCTCCTTGCATGCTTGCGAATATTAATACTATTATCATTGCATGAATTTCCAAGCAGCAAGCGACATCCTGAGTCTTTCATGAGAGCCACGCAGATTTGAATTTCGAATTTCGATTGTAGCCCAGGGGCCAGGCCTCCGCGAATTTGTTGTGTGTCCGGGTGCTAAACCTATCGTGCGGTTATTTCGGCCCTTCGGAATATCGAATAAAAATGCGGTGCTAAGATATCGCCGGGGGGGTTCTTAAATGCTTCCTGGGGTTATGATATCGATTGTGAGATCGATTGTGAGATCGATAGTGAGATCGATAGCGAGATCGATAGTGAGATCGATAGTGAGACCGAATGTGAGACCGAATGTGAGATCGACTGTGAGATCGACTGTGAGATCGATAGTGAGATCGACGGTGAGACCGAATGTGAGACCTAATGTGAGATCGATTGTGAGATCGATTGTGAGATCGACTGTGAGATCGATTGTGAGACCGATAGTGTGATCGATTGTGAGATCGATAGTGAGATCGATAGTGAGAACGAATGTGAGACCGAATGTGAGATCGACTGTGAGATCGATTGTGAGATCGATAGTGAGATCGACAGTGAGACCGAATGTGAGACCGAATGTGAGATCAATTGTGAGATCGATTGTGAGATCGATTGTGAGATCGATAGTGAGATCGATAGCGAGATCGATAGTGATATCGATAATGAGATCGATTGTGAGATCGATAGCGAGATCGATTGAGTGAGACGTTGGTTCCCCCTCCCCCTTACCTCCTTATCACCCGCAGGGTGGTCGTATAGGTATAGGAAAA